GAACCCTTTGGGTCCCTCGGGCTCATTCAAATTTATATCCACGTAGGAGAGTCAAGAACCTTCCATAAGACTCAGAAACCTCACCTGCTCAGGAATGTTATGAGGCACTAGTATATAGAAAACACTTCAGTGTCTGCAACAGTGAATATCTTATCATCTTCCTCTATCTTCAGTTTTTAAAAATAAACTAATGGAAGAGTAAAAACTTAAGGGACTAGCCATTCAACTAAAATACGGTGATTGGCTTCACTGAGCTCACAGTGACCATGCTTTTCAGAGGTAGAACTAGAGGCTCTATCACCGGATTTCAGGAGGTACATCCCAGGAATAAACTCCCCTATCCTTGCCACACGTTTCTCTCTGCAACTCTACTCACATCCCACTTTAATATAATCACAGGACATGGACAATTCGCTCTGCACCCACCCCATCCCTCTCTAGACTCATTCACCTTCATACCTGAGTTGGGTGCCCAAGATCTTGCAAACGAAGCTGACAAATCAGTGGGGGTCTGGGTAGAGGCCATAGCCAGCCTTGACTCCGCTTCCGAGTCTAGGCCATAGCCAACCTTGACTCCGCTTCCGAGTCTAGGCAGCTCCATTCAGCTTGGTTTTTCTTTACCCCTGAACACTTGGCTTTGGCAAAAGCGGGTCCTCTCTCCAGCTGCACCTCCCAAAGCTCACTTGAAATCAATGGAGCAAACTTCTGTGTGGCTTACTCCCTCCTCTTTCCTAAGTTCCTAAATGAAGAACACCTTATTTTGCCAGGCGTGATGACACACACCTTTCTTTAATCCCAGAACTCAGGAGGCAGAGGCAGCCTGGTCTACAGAGGAAGTTCCAGAATGGCTAGATCTAAACAGAGAAACCCTGTCTCAAAACAAAACAAATTTTATTTCACAGTTATACCAGAAAAAAGGAATGGCCCATAGGCTCTCTCTCCTGCATGCCTCTACTTGCCTGTTAGGTAACTCCAAAATACAACGCCAACTCACCCTACCTTACAACTATCTTACAAGGCTCTCCACACTCAAACACCCGGACTAAAGGCGTGTGCCATCGCCACCCTACAGCTTTATTTATATACCATCCCTGTCCATGTCCCAACCCTCTGAGTTCCTGAGACTATGAGGCGGTTGTCCATGGCAGCAGTTTGTGTTACTGGGGATTTTTAGCTGCACCATCCATAGCCCTGGGTAGGCAGCGTCCATAACCCTAAGAAAAGCTTAGGAGGGAAGTGCTTTAATCTAGCCACAAAGAATTTACCAGAATGCAAAGGAGTGGCGCGATATGATGGAATGATGGATGGCCTCTTTGTGGATCTCTGGCCACAACCACAACACAAATGAGACTTCCTGTCTCCATGCAGATTCATTCACCCTCCTGTTTCTCTCTCTCTCTCTCTCTCTCTCTCTCTCTCTCTCTCTCTCTCTCTCTCTCTCTCACCACCCTCCTCCTTCCCTTCCTCCCTTTCTCTTCTTTCTTTAGAGTTCTAGTTACAACAATCCTCGTACTTTTTAAATCACATTTACTTATTTATCTTGTGTACATTCACAGGTGGATGCCACAGCACTCCTGTGGAAGACAGTGCAAAGAGTTTATGTTTTGTGGCTCACAATCTGGCGTGGAAGAGAGATGCCTGCAAAAATAAACAATACGTAAAATGGGTGGGAGTGATGGGGATGGTCAAGACAGTGTCTCGGGAATAGAGAAATCCCCTGGTGAAGACATCTAGAAGTTTCTTGTGCCTGTGGTGTCGTGAAGATATCAGAGGCAAGGTGGGAGTGCTGGCTGTGACCCACCAACCCTTGCCTGGATTCCAGCCCAAAGCAGATTATGAAGTCAAAGGAACAGAACGGCCAGAGAGCTGTTTGATGAGGGATATTCTTTCGGCCACACCATAAGAATATTAACACCCACAAGCATAGTGACTGACCTCCATTTTGCCTATGAAGAGCGCCAAAATCACCAGTTTCCATCCTGGGTTTTAGTAGCTTTCCTAATTATTAATTTATTTGTTGGTTTGGTGCCTGTGTGTATCTGTGTGTGTGTGTGTGTGTGTGCGTGTGTGTGTGTGTGTGTGACAGGCATGTCTGTGAAGGTCAGAGAACAACTCTCAGGAGTCAGTTCTCTTCTACCACCTTGTGCCATCCAGAGTTCAAACCCAAGCTGTCAGGTTTGTGTGTGTACAAGCACCTCTACCTCCTGAGCACCAGCCCGACATAAAACTGTTTTCTGTCTTCTTTCCAAAATGGAAGGAAGCTGACCTGGGACACTGAGCTGGGTCTGCAGTGGGACCCAGACTTCACAGCTGCATTCAGGAACTACTGTGGGTCTTATTATTATGCTGGGGAATGTATAAAAACATGGGGTTGGTATGTACTTGTACCAGTGCACACACAGCTGGCCTGGAGGTTTCCATGTGAGACTCTCTCACAGTGTCCCAAGCACAGAAAGCATCGCTGGTGTCTTAGATTACCTTCCAATACAACCCCAGTCCTGGGCAAACAGATGAGGAGATAGGAGAGACCAAGTGTGTCACGAGGTCCCCTGACCTTCCCAGCCAGCCATGCATACAGATCATCATTTTTTACCATCATCTGGAATAGGGGGAAAAATACATTTCAGCTGTGTCACAGGGACACCACGAGAGCATCTTTTTACAGGATGCTTATGTCTTCAGAAAACATGGTTCCTGGAGCTGCCAAGATGGTCTGGGGGGGCGGGGGGGAGCACTTGTACCCAAGCACTTGCCCCCCCCGGGTTCCATACCTAGAACCCACAAGGTGGAAGGAGAGAACTAACTCTTGAAAGTTGTCCTCTGACCTCCACACGCTTGCCAGAGTGGACACACATGGGCACACAAACAAATGTACAATGTTTTTTAAAAGGAAGAAAGAAAAAAAAGAGAGAGAAGGAAGGAAAAGAGAGAGAGAGAAAGAAAGAAAGAAAGAAAGAAAGAAAGAAAGAAAGAAAGAAAGAAAAAGAAAGAAAGGAAGGAAGAAGGAAGGAAGGAAGGAAGGAAGGAAGGAAGGAAGGAAGGAAGGAAGGAAGCGTGGTTCATCCTAAGGCTCTCTGCTTTCTGCTGGTTTTATATAACTCAGAACACCTTTGCATCTACCATCACTTCTAAGAAAATGATGTAGTGCATGAAAGATGTAGATGTTACAAACTACCCTCTGGACACTGTGCTCTAAGGGGCTCAGTGACTCATCCCCAGTCAGACAACGTAAGCAGGTGCTAAATTCGCCCCCTCGGGAGCTCAGGTCCTGCTTCTGTGCAGTGATGC